CGGACCGCGTGTCTAATACCTCGCAGCAGGCTGCTGCTGCGGTGCCTCCCCGGGCACCTCCGTCACCGCCGGTGGCCCTTACTCACCGCAACGGCATCTTCCCTTCTCTCTAGTCTAAGCCTCTCTCCTCTCTGTCTCTTTTTCCTCAGCAGAAACCCATTACTGCCTGTGATATATTTTCGCTCAAGCTCAGATAAGTTTTCCCCCTTGCCTTTATTTTATATCCTCTGCAGGATTTCATGAGCTTTAGAATATTTTGCTTCCTTTTCCTGTGACGTGTTTTATGAGGTTTTAATTATTATTGTTTATTATTATTGTGCTTTAATTGTCTGCTTGGGTCCCTCCGAGCCCTTGAGTGAGCAATTTATAAATAACGCTATTTTTATTATTACTATTATTTGTCTAGCTTTCTCATATTCTCCACATCTCCCCTCTGCCCCTTTCCTCTTTTACAGGCCTATATGTTAAGTTCCTTCATCTCTTCTCGTAAGTCAGACCTGCCGAACCCTCTCAGCTTTGTTTCCACTCGACTTTAATGCGCTTTTTTCCTGCTTTTTAGTGAGATGCTTCGAAGTGTAACCGTGCTGGAGGAGTTATTACCGGGTGTAGCCCTGCAGCGACGAAGCGACCAGCCTCAGGCACCACCTCGGACCGAGACCACGCTGCCCTTGAGGAGCTGGGATGGACAACCATCATCGCGCTGCCACGGCCGCAACTGGCTGTCGTTACGGGTGAGCGCTGGGGGACGGCACGCAGCCGCTCTCCCCGGGTACCACCCGTCCCCGGGGCCGTGCCAGAGGGTGATTAACGAGGGGCGAGCGGAGGGGTGGGCTAGGCGATACGGAAATGCTCCCCGCCCCATGGCTGGGGCTCTCCGGCCGTGGGAAAGGCGGCTGCGGGGACCGGCAAGGTGGGGGTCTCCCTCGGGTGCTCGCGCAGGTACGTGAAGGGGTGCGGGGCTGGGGAGCGAGAGGGGGCGGATGCCGCTCCTTGCAGGGGGTCGGCTCCTGCCAAGAGCTGCTGAGCTACCTGGCAGCAACCTCCGTCTCCTTCAAAAAGGTCGCAGCTTTGCTGGTACAGAAACAACACCTGGGTTTTGCTCTGCTTCTCTGCGGGCGACCCGCTCTCAGCCTCTCCCGAAGCCGGGTACCACGTTGCAGAGCACTGCAGGCTCCTTCGCTTTGCTTTGGTGTTTCAGACTCGAAAGGTGGCCCTCGCCGGGTGCGATGGGCAGGCAGGAGGGCGTGCGTGTGTGCGAAGCTGTTTCTTTACCCCGGGAGCCGCAGTCGGTAGCGCCTGGGTGGCTGAGTTCATTTCTCCTGTACGTTTGCTCTCAATGAATATCTCTGCTAATGAGTTTGCTGGCAGGAACAACTGCATGGACAGCAGTTTTGAAGTCAGTGCCTGCTAGAAATGAATTTTTAGATCATAAAGACAAGGGTTGTCGACCGAAGCCCGGTGCTAGGTGTGCCAGCCACGGGAGGTGCAGCCGGGACCGAAATCCCTGCATGCGGTCCGCCACGCAATGACTGGGACACATGTGGGAGAAAATGGTAAAGTTTTGCTCCCCGACAACCGGAGAAGGGAAACAGAGGGAAAACGCACATTATTGTTTGCTAGATACTGTTTGCCAGGCTCTGCCTTCGTTCTGTTATCGGAGGACTAACCTGCGATCAGCCCCGCGCTCCCTCGGCTCGCTCGAGCCGCCGAGCAGCGTCTTCGTTCCCCCCCAAGCCCAGGTCTCGCATCTGGCAGCTCTAACGAGGGGGAAGCAAACCCAGGCTGGCAAAGAAGCGTACGTCGCGCCTCTCTCTGCAGAGAGATTTTTAGAGCCGGATTAAATGGGTCTTGGGAAAACGTCTTCGGGATTGGAGCTACAAATGGCTTTTTGATCAAAACAAAAACGTTCATTTTGAAAACCAAAACTGTTTCATTAAACATGTTTGGGCTTTGTTTGTTTATGTCAGAAGCGGTAGGTTTGCCGCGGTCTGAAAATTGAAAACTTTTAAGTGTTCTTCTACCTTGGACTTTCAACAAAAAAGCGAATGCCTCTCAAAGGTGATATGGAAGAATAAGAACAATTAAAAATTTATTTCCCGGGAGAAAAAGGAATGATTAGAACGATCAGAAAAAAGTTCACGTGTCTCTCTTCAGGAAAACTTCTCTCGGCTTTAAAGATAGGCGATCGCATCTGGTATGAATAGAATCGCAGAGGGTCCTTTTGTGTCATTTGAAGCTGGAGATGAAGCTGGACTAGATGAAGTCCGCCTAGGGATGCAGGAAGGCTTTGCTGACACCTGACATTTGAGGCAATCTGCCCTTTTCCAAAGGCAAACGCCTTAGAAGTATTTTCATGAGCGGTAGCGATAATCAGGCTGAAATCCCAGCTCCCCTGAAATCAATGGGCTCTTTTGCAGCCGCCGTAATCGGGCCAGCGACTCTCTCCTAATCTCCGCCGGGGCTGAATTAGCAGTGCCAGCGTGGGGCAGGGCTGTCGGAGGAAGGGACCGTGGCGATGCCCGGAGCTGCTCGTCCTCAGCCCTTTGGCAAGGAGCCTCCCAAATCTGCGGGCAGAAAACGTAAAGGAAGGAGCGGAGGGAGGGACCAGGGAGAAGAAGGAACATATTGAAGGGAAACGGGTAAAATGATTAAAACAAAATGATTCCATGTGCTACAGAGGACTAGAAAGAAAACACGGGCATGTGGAGTAGGACAAAGCAAGCGAGGCAAAGCCCAGACTTGAAAGACCAAAAAGAATGGCAGACCTTATCAAAAATCAAGGAAAGGTGGAGCGAAAGGCAGCCTTGAAGCCGAGGTGCTGTTGAGGAGGTAGGGGCAGAGCCTCCCCGGCGAGGAAGGATGCTGCACGTGGGGGAAGAGCCCCAGGAAAGGGCACAAGATCACCCTCCAAACAACCTGCCACCATCCCAAATTTCATGCCACTTATTTTACAGCCGTTAAAAATAAATGTAGCTCCTGGCTGTCTTCAGTACCTAGGAAACAGTTAAACCTGTGTGCCTGCCATGTAATTCAGCAAAAGACTTAAGGACAGGCTGCGACCTTCTTCCAGGGCTAAGACAAGTCAGAGCGAACCTCGGGCACCGCAGCCCGCGCTGGGCGAGGGGATGTCTTCCATCCATGTTGCCTGCGAGCATTCAGCCCTCTCCTGCCCGCTGTGCCGAGTGTCTGGAGCCTGGGGCAGGACCAAACACGGCTCCGGCTCCTGGCTGGCCTGCTGGGGACCATCTCTGCCCGCCTAGGCTCAGCCCGGAGCAGCAGCTGATTTCGGATGCATCTGGGTCTGTGCGTGCGTGCAGAGCTGATGGGAAGGGCTCTCCCAGCACCCTCCCCTCGGGGGGATTTTGAGCACCGTTGGTAAAAATTCAGCATCTTTCATCCAGACAGGTGGCGATTATGCTTCAGCCGGCGAGAATTGCCTTGCTGGGGAAGTGGGATCCATGCCCCACCACGCCTGGGTAGAAATCTCTTTCTTCTGCTCGGTGAGTCCTCCGGTTTTCATCCCGTTTCCAAGGGACGATAATCTGCAGAGCGTCAGGTCACGCTAAGCTCCAATTCACTTGAGAGGGATGAAGAGAGGACGTATGGCAGCTCTGTGCTTTGCTGTCATCCCAGCCCCGGCTGGAGCCCAGGGCGGCTTGGCTGGCACCACCCGTGCAAAGCCCGCAGCTCCCAGCGTGTCCCTGAACCCGGCGTCGGAAGCACAATGCAAGGGGTGAACGGCGGCGGGCGCTGGGGTCTGGGCTGTGCGGCTCGGCCGGAGCCTGCGTTGATCCTGCTAACAAAAGAAACGCGCGTTTAAAACGAGGCAAAACTAAAGGGCCTTTTGCAAAGAGGAAGCAGCTGGCTCAACTAATTAAATGTTAAAAATTCCAGCAAGACGAGCGTACCAGAAAACAAACAGGCACGACAGCCAGGATGGAAAGGGTTGGAAAGGATCCGTGCGGTTCCCTCTCTCTCCCCGTATGTGTCTGTATAGACGCTGGCACCTGTGCAGCCATGTGTTCACACGCCCGTGTTTACGTGCTTTAGGGAGCCTGTTTCCACATGGATCTGCGCGGATCAGAAGCCGTAGGGCTGTGCACCCCCACGTCACCCCATGCCTTCCCTGGCCCCGTTCACGT